GGGGGGGGGGGGGGGGGGGGGGGGGGGGCAAAAAACCGGGGGGGGGGGCAGGAAAAACCCAACGTTTTTATGCTCTAGAAAAGGGACTTCTGTGCCGGTAAGGTGCTGCCGGCATGGGAGCTGCAAAGGAAGATGCCAGCAGTGCTCAGCGCTCGCAATATCCCACGCTGCTGCTCTCCACAAGGTTACGGTCTGTTTCTGTCCCGCTCCAAGCTGGCACTACAGCAAACGCGTTAACCTGTCGGTCTAACCAGGGTGCTGCGTCGGTGCCAGCTAGGAGAAAAACGTGCCCAGTGCCTGCTCTGCCTGCACACGGCTTGGCCCGTTGCTCCGGGCTGGTGCCACAGCACCGGCAGCCAGGGCCCGGCGCTCACCTCTCCTCTGCAGAAACGTCTCCAGATTCTCATTCAGGCTCTCCTCGTTGTCCAGCACAAATCTGAGGATCGACGCCAGCTCAACCTGTGTCGGAGGAGCCGCGGGGTCAGCGGCTCTGCTGCAGCCGCCGTTGTTCGCAGGCGGGGCGGTGCCAGCCGGGCAGCGACGGCAGCAGGGTCGGGGCAGCTGGCAGCTCCCTGCCTGCCCATGCCTGCACCGGCAGGTGCCCACGCTCGCAGTCACGAGCCTCTGATTGCCCAGACGCACTGGCGAGCACCGCAGCGCCCACCCCGCACCGTCTTTCCAGGGGACCCAGAACAGGAGGGCGGGCCTCGGAGCACCCCTCCAAAAGGCACCTCCGCTTCCCCCTGCGCCCCCGGCCCGAGGGAGAACGCAGAAGGGATTACCTGGGTCTTGTAGTCAAACTCATTCCAGTCCCCAGGGCTCTTGCAGCTCATGGAGGTGTGATACAGGAGCAGCACGGCCACCTGAAACGAGGCAGGTAAGCGTCACTGACCCCAGGTCGGTCATCGGCGCATCGGTGCCGGCTAGGAATAAAGCGTGCCCCGCGGTTACCTTGGCCAAGGCCAGCTCCTCTCCCTCCAGGAGTTTCTGTGCCGAGACCAGGTTCTCCGCAGCCGATTTGTGCTTGCAGTGCTCTGCAACGTGAAGCAGGATTCCCGGTCACGCAGGAGCCCCTGCCGCTGGGCACGCTGCCTGCCAAGCCATGGCACGTGTCCGTCCCCCGAGGTGACGCGCTTGGGCTGGGGGGGCACCGTGATGCATCCCCAAGGAGAGAGGGGCGCAGGCAGGGAGGCGCAGGGTGGGCCGGGCTCCGGAGCTGAGCCCCCGGTGCTCAGCCTCTGCTTCCCCGCCCCCACCGGCAACTTCCCCCTCGGTCCCAGCCTCCCCACCTCGCCCTCGGCAGCTCTCTGCGCCTTTTGCTCCTCCACCGCCAGCCCAAACCGAGTCCCATCCGTGGAGGGTGGGATACGGTGTCTCCCCTTCCAGGAGAGGCCAAGCAGAAGTGCAAGAGACTCGCCATTTCCCCTCCCGGGATTCCTGCTCGAGTAAAACTTTTCCAGCGGGATTTGAGCAGCTTTGAGGCCAGGCACCGGGCTAGGAATGCCGCCCCAAAGCAGCGTCGCCGGAGCAGCCCCCGGCACCCTGCCCTTCACCCCCTGGACCTCCTTTGCACCAAGCCCGGGCTCTGGCAAGGATTTCCATCGGGAAGCTTTTCCCTCCCGCACGCTGCCGCGGGGTCAGGGCAGCTCTGCCTGCACCTCGTGAAGCCG